AGATCATTCCACCGAAATTCAAAAAATAAACCTAAAGCAGTGTAAATTATTTTTGTAACATCTATATTCAACATTGAATGAAGGAATGAAGTCTGGAATAATTCCTGCATTGAAAATGAAGACATCTGGGTTCATCCTTGGCTCCATTTTGTTTTGCTTAAGGAAATTGTATCATCTCTCTCAGCTTTAGTCTGTAAAACTAAAAAACGTGCGAAAGTGTTGTGAGACTATTGTTTCTCATGCAAAGCAAGTTAAGAGCAATAGCTTTAACTGCTAAATATAGGGTTGTAAGTCGTGATAGTTTATGTATTGTATGTGATTTATATGATGCATCTAGCATTTTTCCAGCTTCATGCATCATTCTGATTTCTACAGTTGCATTCATGATTCTGTAAGTATTTCCAATATAATTATAGAGAACAAAGTTCAGCCTGTGGATTGTAAATGAATGACTATAAATGTAATTTAATGAGTAGTTCTTTCCCATAACTGGTTGGTTGCTTAGATCACATGGTGTTTTTTCTGCTCTTGGGTTAGATTCAAACCCAAGAGAGTAATAATTACTACTTACACAGTGATATCCAGTTAGTGACTCCTGTCAGAGATGGATGCAGCCAGCTGAGTACTTGTGAGCAAGGCATTACACAATCCTTCAATGGCAACTCTTGCAAGCCTGGTGTGTAGAAATTACTGATGCTTGTATTATTTGTCATTCTTTCACAACAGTTTTATTGTGTAGCACTCCAAATCTGAAAAGTACAAACTTTACTTATTTTGAGCAACTCAAGTCACAAACTTTACAATGTACAAAGGCAACCAACAAAGCATGGGGCCAGGTTCTGGAAAGCAGGACACACGAGAGTCAGCTCTGCCACACCTGCTGGGTCTTGGCTGCCTTTGGCACTGCTGGTGCTTTGTTTCCAGCACAGAATTATTTCCATGCTCCAAGACTATACATGGCAAAGGTAGGTTTTCTTAATCACCTTGAACTATAAAATATCTTGTTCCAGAGACTGGATCTGGGTTGTGTTTTTGGAGACTCTATAGAACCGTTAATAGGTTTCAATGGAGGGCTTTGCATCTTTAACTTGCTCCAGTGTTTTTAGTGGTTTTTTGGGGTTGATTAACTCATTTTGTTTTCATTTGCCTATCTGCTAAGATTTTCCCCAAAGGAAGTCTTGTGATTAGGTTTATAGGCTCCCTCTCCACGGAGAGCTTATTGATGCCTTTTCTAGTCTCTGAATAGCATTTTCCATCTGTTTCTGCTTGCCTTGCTCTGGTTCTTCTAGTGCTTGTTTTTGCAAGTTTTTTGCATACTATATTTTATTACCATTTAATATCACTTGTGAATGTTATGTATTCACCAGATATCCCGCTTTTGTAATATTTGACCATTCCTTCAGTTTTGTGAAATAGCAGTTGTGTCATCTCACCTCACAGGCAAGGTAGAGAAAAGCGTGAGGGATTTTCAAGTGGTCCCAGAGAAGTTCCTGAACCCATGGCTTGATGTGTTAGTCCAGATTCTGTGCCGTGACTTCTAACTTCTCTGTCCAGCATATCAAAGTTGATTTGATATTGTGATGATTTTTAAAACTGCTTCATCTCTTGAGAACACTAGTTTTCATGGACTATGCTGGTACCTATCCAGGGAAAAAAAAAAAAAAAAAAAAAAAAAAGTTATTTTTGCAGCTAAATAGCAAATAAGTTTTGGGCAGGTTCAGAAAAACTGGTAAAAATTTCATTGATTTCATTGGTGGAAATTTCTGAGAAGTTAAAAAATGCTAAGATGTATAATATTATATTGTGCACAGGATGTAGCAACTTGCTAAACTGTATAGCTGCTCACTGAGGCATATCTATGCTTCTCTTCCGCACAGCTCTACTGAACTTGTAAGAATCTGCTGCGACTTTAAAGTACAAAAACCCCAAAGCAGATCCATAATCTCCAGGGCTGTAAGTGTTGAGTCCAGCAGCTTTCACCTGCTGCACAGTTCCCTTCTCCAGGATAAGTGAGAGCAGAAAATCTGTGTTCTCTGCCTTCCTGGGCTGCTGTGAAAAGAGTGTGGCCTGCCCACGGGTTCTGTGCCCTGGCCACTTCAGATGCTCTCCTGGTTTACTCGAAATACTTCATTTGAACATTTGGTCTTAGAACTGGGAAAGAAAAAAATGCAGCATGGAGCAGTGTTTGGAGCTGCTCTGGATGGAATACTTTTACACTAAGTCATTTTTCAAAGGAAAATGATTCTAGTAATGCTCTGAGCCAGAAATGTGTTGGTATGCTTTTCAAGATGTCTTGGAATGCTAGCACAATAAGTTCGCTGTACAAATCTAATTATCTCAGCCTTCTTCTTTTTTTTTTTTTTTTTTTTGGCAATGTTATTTGATTTAGTTTTGAAGCTGTTAATGAACTGCTTTGGGAAAGAGATTACATGATTTATGTAACATTTATTTTCTTTTATTCTTTGTGATCTGCCTTGTTATAAACCATGAATTGTTTAAGTGCATTTTTTGCTTTGAACTAGCAGGAGAGTGGCAGCATCTCTTTTTGGATTTGTTCATCTAAAACATGACTTACACACCAGGCTGTACTTTCACACAACGGACACCTCTGTGGTGATCCTCTCTTTTTGAAAGAGTAAGTGAGGTTCTCTTCCCACCTTTGGCCTCACTAATGAGATCTGCAGGGGGGAATCAACATCAGTTTTCTCTGATGGCATAATGACAGAGTTTCCTGGAGATTGAGCTATCAACACTGATATAATTTAATTGGGGGAAGAGTTTAGTCCAACCACAGGCATGCATGCTCAGCTGGAGGAATGCTTTTTTCCTAGACTAATGTAGTTTTCTAGTTTTTCTAGTCTCTGAGTAGAAGTTCAGGACAAGCTTTCTGCCCAAATATTATTTAATGTTCCTGAGATGGAGAGCACTCCTTTGGCTGTTGAAAGCCAGTAAGTTTATGGTCATTTTCTACAGATAACAAGAAGGTTTTATGCAAGTTTTGGGAAATCCAAACCAAGCGGAGAAATTAAACTATGGAAAAATTAGTTTTTTGGTTTTCTTTAATATCACTGGAAGCAATGGTTAACAATGTAAGTAAAAGTAGTATGGGACTCTGTTTTATGAAGGTTTAGTGATGTTCTACAGCTGAGAATTCTGGTGTTTTGGAACACTTTCTCAGAAGTGAGTGTATTGCTTGGCATGCCAGATTACAAGGCTCTAGAGGAAAACTTCAAGGGAAAACTAATCTTGCAGTCACTTTTTGTTCTTTCAAGGAGTTGACCTTAGTTTTTACAGTGGTTTCAGCTATTAAACAAGTCTCCTTTTTTTGTTACGTTTTAATTGCAAGAATACTTTCTATGTTCTGAACCATAAACAGAGCTGAAATTGCTGACTACACAGATATCCCTGTCACTGGAATTGTTGCAATAATATTTTCTAGTCTCAGTGACAACAACTTTTTCAAGGAAAAATAAAATCCTGATCTCAGCCAGTTAACTACTTATATGGTATAACATAAATATAAAACATATAAAGCTATATACATATGTACAATATCTTTTAATGTAGGAGTTATTATTAAAAGCCAGAATCCTTTTGCTTGTTTTGAACATCAATTAATTTCCAGCCTAAGAAATATTTCCTAGCCCCATTTTCCACAATAGAGACATTCTGTCTATAACTTGTGTTTGAGCAAATTTCGATCTTAACGATGAAGGAAAGAGAGACGGTGTTTGGATTTTCTTTTCCTCCCACTGAAACTAAGGGAAAGAAAAAGTGATGTTAATTGAGGAATTAGTTCACATAAAGGGTCAGTAGCTGGGGTCAGTAGCTGGGGTTAGTACTTAAAAGTATTTCTTCTCTTAAGAAAAATAAATACAATGTGCAGTTAGCATTAAGTAGTGCAATTTTGTACCTCAAATTATTTAGAAAGCAAAAATATTTTTCCTATGATTTTGTGACTCTGTAATGCAATATCAGCAGTTCTTTGCTGCGTAGTTGAGTTTGAAAAATTACATTGTAAAGTTTTCTTTGTTAGTCCATTTTTGAGGTGAGGTTATACAAAGTGTCAAGCCCGTGTCTCCTGTGGAGTCTGTGTGACTTGAGAGTACCTCAGAGGTGTGTTACTGTGTAGGACCCAAACTTGGGTTTCCAGAAAAATGAAGAAAGGCAATGCAGAAGGGCTAAGGTGGGGGGCCAGCTGTCTATTAAATAGTTTCTATAAATAAATGCTTTACACTCTGGAGAATGCTGGCCAAATGCTGCGACATGTCTTTGGCTTGCAGGGCATCAGTGTATTGTGACATTTACCCATTTCCTAGAGGAATAAAATGTTCCTGCGTGACTTGCAAATCAAGCCTGGTTTTACAGAGCATTGGGTAGCTGTTTCCTGAGGCAGTCAAAGTATTTGTTGGATGATGAGGGGCACTTCTCAGTACCCTCGCCAAGTGCTGCTGGAAGGCCCTGAGCAGCACAGAGGGACGTGGAGCCAAAGGTCCCCCAAAGACACCACTGGAGCTTTGGAGCAGCTGCTGCTGCTGGAGTAGCAGAGCTCAAAGTCCTCTGTGCTCCAGTGCCCAAATCCCACCCTCAGTGCTGTGCTCAGTAAAGTGGTTACAGAGCAATCACACAAACCACAACACAAATATCTCAGCAGTCAAACTATTCCTCACCAGTCAGGTATACTCCCTTGTACCTGTAATGCAAGACTAAATTTTGGTTTACAGGATTTTGATTTTGATTGAAAACTCAGCTGCACTTTATGATGTATGGGAGCGCAAATTTGATTGAGAAGCCAAACAATCTTCAGTCCAAAATCCATTTTGGGTTAAGTGTGATGGTCATTTTTATATACATTCAGAATATTCTCTTTTTAATCAGTGGTATTCCACATAGCAGTGGCCATCTCTGAACATAAACTTTAATAAAGAAACTAACATAATGTAACACATTGTTTTTCACAGTAGATTTAACATTATCCTGAATTTTGTTCTTTTCTTCAGTTTATTTACGGAGAAAAATACCACAGGAGCTAGAGCTTCATGATTTCTATCAAAAGGTAAGAGCTACTTTGTTCAAAGATACCAGAATTATATTTGTCAGTTCAATATAAATCTGGTTGTAAAAAAAGAGGTAACAATGATACATAAAAACAAAATTTAATGAAAAGAACTCACATTATGAGTGAATTTCATGAATCATGTAAAGGTGTGCATAAAAAATTGAATATGTACACTTTAGATCTCAGATCTGATAAATATTTCATTGGATTAAGAAATGCACTCTTGAAGCTTACCTGTATATAAAACATAAGAATGCATTAGGGAGGTAAGGTACTCTGTCAATTAACACACTTGTGTATATGTCTGTCTGTCACTGGAAAAAAAAATCTCTGTAATTATTAGACTTAAGGTGGCTGTATCTGTAAAATTTTAAAAATGGAGGCTTTTGAATGAATAGAACTAACTGCTGAGGTCACAAACTACTTGCATAAAGTATGATTGAGGAGAAATATAAGTGTGGGATCAGCTAATACATGCACTTAAAATACAGCCTTGATGTTCTAAATTGTCATCAGTGGAGTACTCTTTGAGGGGAATCAAGGTTCTGCTGTCACCAAAAGAAGAGCTAAGATTACAAAAGCAGAGTTAGTCCAATACCTGATGCCTTTGGACAGCTTGCTATCAATCTTCAAATAACACCAGTTTGTAGACCTGCAAGTTTTAGGGAATTCCACTGTCATGAAAATGCTGTTCTGGGTCAGCCCAATGCTCAGGCGGGGCACTGAGACTTTTGGGTCATGAAAAGTGCACCTGGAACTGGATTTAGTCCTCTTGAACATCTGCATGTCTGCATCACATTACCTGTTCAGCCTTCTCTCAGTGCTGCATTGCTGGGAGCTCCCTTCAGCATTAGGGTTCTCTGTAAGGCTGCTCCTTCTGATAAAGTTGAGATATTTCTTTTTCTTCAGCCTCACATTTATAATGCACGGAAGAGTGTTTTGATGGGAAGTATCAATACCATATTGAATGATTCTATGGCCTGGATTTGAAAAGCCTGGGTACCAATAATCAGTTTTGTTTCTTTGGATTTTATTGATAGTGAATTAACAGATAGATATTTCTTTCCTGATATCTGATATGTAACTGTGTGAAAATGCTAGCAATTCAATAAATAGTAGTAAACTGACTCTTTAATAAGGTAAAAGAAAATTTAACATCTGAATTCAGTAAGTGATAAACTAATAATGAGTTATCAGGAAGCAGGATGAATGCTAATATTTCTTTAGAAGCAGTGACAAATAGTAAAGAAATGAAATATGTTTCTGCCACTTCAGAAACACAATGGTTTGGGATATTTTGAAATGGATGTTTCTGTTCACATGTCTTTCATCTACCTGCTTATGAATTTGTATAGGTCTATTCCTTTAGATTCAAGCTGCCTTTAGATATTGAGGGGAGGAGGGACAAGCATTTTCAGCATTGGAATTATCCTAACTGGTCACATGAGCAATGTACAATGCTTTCTGAAGAACAGGTACCAATTTCTAAGCTAATCTTGCTGCTGTAGGTACAGTTTTGAACTGCAGAGCTGCATATGAATGTGGTACTACTGCAAAGTTCTGCCAGTGTAATTAATAGCAGAATTTGGCTCGGATTCTGCAAAGACTTTGTGGCCATGTTTTGCATGAAAAATGCGTATGTGGTGGTTGTGGTTTTATTCTGATGTGGCTGAGATCAGCAACTGCTTACAGAATCAAAAAGCCATAATTGCATTGTGAGCATTAAGAGGTAATGCACACAGATTCTTATGCATCCTCCATACCAGGGCAACCTTATCTTGCATATCGGTTACCAGTTCATAACGGAGCAGATGTGTTATTGCATGTTTCTGTGCTTTTCCTTGCTGCTGAACAAGGCTGTTTCCTTCCCTCCAGTTCCAAATAAAATGCTTTAGAAAAAAAAAAAAATACAGTCCTCTTACCCACATTGTAACATCCAATAATGTTGAGTGTTCTGAGGTTTGAAGATGAAAGAAACAGGCTGTAAGTTATGGAGTTGGAGGACAATATAAACAAAGTGACCTTTGGTATCATGCTTGCCATATTCTGATGAATAAATTGAGTTCATGTTTAACATTCAGATAATATTCCTGGCAGAGCAAAACATTGCCACATTAAATGTTCAGATCAGAAATGTTCAATGCAGACTAAATTAAGTTGGATCTTAGGACAGCAAAGTTAAAATGAGTAACATGTGGCAATATTTGATTTAACAAAGAAATGTTTCTTTTTCCTTTTTCCCTTTTTTTTGCAATATTTTTTTTTAATACTGTAAGTTTAAAAGTATAAAGATACACATGCCACAATGCAGTGCCAGGAACGTTAAGTGCTTTTGATCTCCCTCCTCAGATATTAATGTCTCCCCCTGAACACCCCCCTTGTTTGGCGTCTTAAGAGTTTTCATACCAATAAAGATGCAGAGAACAGCAGTCTTTGCTTCTGTTTCTTCAGCTTGTTTTCTTAGTGTTGCATGATCTATGCCCTGGAGAGGTCAATTTTAATCAGCCCCCAGGCACTGCTTAATATTTAGGGCCAAATTGTCAAAGAAGGCCTCTGCTGGATTTTGATTAGTGAGCATATGATCGTTTCTTGCACTGTTGAGCCTCCCAAACACATGTATGTTTTTGCCTGCCAAAATCCAGTCCTAAACTCTTTGAAGTGAAGATGTGGTCGTCCATGCTACTGACATGTGCGTTCTTTGTTTGCAAATTGGATAGTTGCACATCTGTCTCTATCCGCCATTGATTACTCTTGTACAGCTGCACCTGTATTTGATTGTGGGAATGAAAGGGTTGGAACTGGAATTTATTTTTGGAAATGCAGTGCCAGCTTTCTGTGAGATCAGTGTGATTCTTAGTCATTCCTGCTTTGCTGTTTTTGCAGTTTGATCTCTGTAGAAATCTTTAGTCTGCAGGTATTGAGAGTAAAATGTAACTATATTGCTAGCATTTTAATAAAATGTTTCTTGGCTGCATGGGAGCATTGAGTCCAGGGGGAAGATATATAAATCTAGTCATTCTTGAAAAAGACCATTAGTGATTCTGGCTTAAGAAGTGTTTAAGGGAGCAGGAACTTCATGGACAAGCCCCTTTAGATGGCTATGATGATTTTTCAGAATTATAATTCCAGTAGGAATGCCAAGCATAAGCATAGAATAATGCCTTTTGCAAGCCACGAATGTTGGTGCTAACAGAGAACTGTATCCAAAATAGTAGTGATTTACATAAGTATTGCAGAGCAGAAATATCCAGTATTTTGATGCCACTTAGATATATACTTCATAGAGATGAGGGAAGTGCTAAAACATATCCCAGTTATTACTTATGCATGTGGTGGTATTCTGAAAGATTGAAAATATTTCAAGATCAGGACTCGATGTCTCTGTTATAGAATAGAGATTGGTGCCTGTCTGAAGGATTATTTCAGTCAAATATATAGGTTGGAGAAACACAGTCAAAGCTGTCCAAACATGTCTCAAAACTGAAGAAGGGGGTTTTCTGCTTTACCTAGACTCTTTCAAACCTGCACCATTGTGACCAGCTCAGATGTAGGCTGATTTTTATGTGGTTGGGAAATCAATCTAATAGTAATTCTCCATGCGCAATTTCCAGAAAACCCACTTAGGAAATACATTAACATCCGGGACATCCCTGATGGAAAAAAAGACTATTTTAGGTGTGGGCTTTTCAGTGGGAGCAGCAGGACTCCTTTCTTCACAGACCTTTCCTCTGCTTGCAGTGTGCACTGTGGGTTGCAGCCCTGCCCGACGTGCCGGGAGCAGCAGTTGGAACACAGCCTTTGGCTTCAGTGTGAGTGGAGAAAGGCCTGTGATGATTTAAAAAATGGGCAGGCTGGAAGGCAGCAATCAACTAATAAAAGTTCGTAACCATGCAATTATGGCATAGTGACTCTGCAAGCTGAAATTCATTGGCCATTTAAGGCTCTCCAAGTCACATATCAACCTCTGAGAATTTCTGCATTTATTTTTGATTTACTTCAATCTTACCGAAAGTTCAGCTTTTGGCATGTCCAACTATACAGCATAAAACTTCAAAGAGCACACATCCAGAAACTTCACTGAGTTGCATAAGACTTCCTTTATTTGTGTTTGTGTGTATGTATACAGATTCACTCCTAGCTTGTAGGATGTGCATTTTAACTTTCTGAATTCATTCATATGAAAAGCAGTGGGCTTGCATGTAAGAATCTGTAACATAACTATCATGAGGAAAAGAAATGCACAGTCATGAACATAATAGCTACAAACTGATCTCACTGCCCCAGCTCATTCTGGACACTCTCAAGGACTGAAAATAATACGTAAAAAATTGTTAGTTTGAGGAAGTGCATCTGCAATCCTCTTCTAGCCTAACATTAACTTTGTAAAACGAATCTGAAAATCATGTATTCTCGTTGGCAATAGAAAGGAATTTAGGAATGCAGAGAAAAAGAACAAGAGCAGGAAAAGGCATTCATCATGATTACTTTTCTTCTTTATTTTTCAGTCTTGTGTGAGAGGCTTCAAACTGTTGCACTGCATGCTGCATTTTTTAAAACTTTCTCAAACTATACAGAGATCTTGAATTATCTTTCAGGCTCAGGGAAACTACTGAGATCTTGACAGGACAGTTTGTTCTAAAAACCAGAAAGTGAAACAGAGAAGGTCTTCAGAATACCTTATTGACCTTTGTTTGGGATAATAATTTTTTTGTCTGTTTTTAGCGCTGCTTATCCTTTGCAGCATCCTGCCCTGTGTCTGAGCAGTAGCAGGAGAATCAAAGGGAGCAGCTAATAGGTGCTGGCTTACGCAGCTTTATTGGGGCCCCATGCTGTTCCAGCTGTGCCTGACTGATGGAATACCAGCGAGTGGGGGAGTACCTGTCATTTGGCTTTACTGTTACATTCACATTTGTAGAAAGAGAAAGAAAAGGTTGAAACATTTCTGTCATGTTGTTGATGTTCAGTACCAAAACACAGCACAGCCACAACAAAACCAT